TGCATATTGTTGTTCTCTGTCTGCTGACTTCTCTGCAGCTGTTGCAACTAATGATAATTTCATCAGGGATGCAGCATATGCCAAGGCAACGAGCTCATCCTTCCGTCCTGAAACAGGAAGACCCCTTTTTCGTAGGAATTCTCTGAGCTGTGGCACACCATATCTTTGAAAGTTGTCATATAATTCATGGGTATCTGGATTATCCATTGACCTGAAATATGGCATTTCAAAACATTTCGGCAATTACTGTACTGATACACAAATCTGTCCAACACCGGTTTGGCATTAAATTGGCTAAATTAGCAAAACAAGTAAGTTGGAATGAGTAACAAAATTACTGGATACAACAGTGATTCCCATTTTTTTTTTATAATTATAATAAAACAAATTACCACACAGCATCAGCATATATCCATAGTACGGCCCTATACACTCATTAAAGTAGATATAGGCTGAGAGGACACAATTTAACTAAACAACAAATTTATAAATGTGAAATGTTGGTTACAGCCAAGTCAACAGTTTAAATTATTATGAATGAAACTGTTAAATGGCTCTTTGTTAACCATGGAACTGTGAAAAAGCTAACACTAGGATCACTTCCTGTACTGTTGTACACTGGAAAATGTCAGATGAACAGAAAAAATCAACACCCAGTAAAGCGTGCTTTGCTGTTAAAAGTTAACTTATTTAAACATTTTCACAAAGCCTTTTTTATACATTCAATGAACATCCTCTGTGCTGAAATGTCAAGGTATCCAACAAGTAATTGAAATTTATTAACACTTACACATTCCCTGGTGGGATTGGCAATGTTTAAGAATAAATAATAGGAAAAATAGGAAATGCACATAAAAAATTAGACAAGGCTAAGCTAGCACATTACATAAAAAAAAATGTTAAGACTAAATTATTCAACTATAAAAAATGGACAATAATGCAAAGCTTTATATGACTACAAATATTATGAACAAACTGAGTCATTTAATGAAATAAAGATTTCCTTTGCAATTAAAACACACTATAAACTAATCTGTCAAAGGTTTAAGTTAATCACAGTGAAAAATATTGAGAAAACTCACCTTAAATGGTTGGTTTCTGGAAAAAATAGAGCTTGTTGTGTATAGTACTTGTATCAGTGCTGCTTCCTGTACTCAATGTTTATACCCCGTGACCTCTCTCTAAGCATCATGGGAAATACAATGGAGGATGGAATTGGAAAGGGGCTTATTACTGTACGTCTGTGGATGGAATTCTGTACCATGACGGAAATTGGTTATTAGCACGTGTATCTCTTCGTCATTATGCTTTGTATTTGTAGAAATACCGAACGTGTAAACATTGTTAGAGACACACGAATGGCGGATCAAAAAGGAACTTTGAATTAAAATTTCCCCATAGTGAAACTCAATTTCTAACGCTCCACATTTTTTTTTATTAATATTATTTTTTTTACCCGTTGAGTCTGAGGTATGTGAAAACAAAATTTACAGTTACCTGATTGTACGGAATCCTGGCAATTATTCGTTGTGGGGCTTGATGACGTCGACAGATACAAACGATGTGGCGATGTGTAACAACACACAAGCAATATATTAAGCATCCAACAAAACTAATGACGCATGCGCAGTTTTTTACATAGCGACCAATGGCGTAAGATACAAATGTGCTTCTCATTTGCATAATAATAATTTGTTCCACCGCACTGTCCGAACTAAGCTTGATATGCAAATATGAACTTGTGACGTATTGCATATTATAATTATCTATGAGCCCGAACTCACGATTTCGTCTTATATATTTGTGAAAATATGAACGAGATAGGGGTGATAATTAAAATAATATCGTTAGGGGTTATAAATATGCGGTAATTACGTTTATATTGTCTTACAAAATAAATTAATAACACTCACATGACACACATATTTTTTGCCTTTGTTTCATGCACATCAGTTCTGAATATATTCATTGTCGCCATAGAAACAATACACGACTGCAATACACGTTTTTATTTTGGCATGTTAATTGGGTTTCGCCTAAATTTAAACATTCCAAATTAATTCCAAAAATGCCATGGTGCTGTTTTTAATTTTACAGACGGCAATTCCAAATTTAAGATTCGCTTTTGGTCTGCTATTTTAAATTCACAACGTGATTCACATTATTTTATAATAATCAAAGAAAATAAATGTGATTGTAAATAGTCCACAATCTGATTTATTGAAGGACACTTCTACCACAAGTTCGGTTTCAATCGGATTTTGTTAAGACTTCAACAATTGTCTAAAATTAGAGAATCAATATTCCATATAGTTTACCTCAGCGTACTGTATATATGTACCAAGTTTCATTTAAATGGGATGATTATTCATATTAATCAAATCAGGTGATTAGTATGCATAACTAATACGGTTTGCGGATTGTCATTTCACTGATACTTGAGATATATGTATTGAACAGTCATACATGGATAGATACACACAGACTGGGTAGCCAGGCCCGTGGTTTGGGGGGGGGGGGTCGGGGGTTCAGTCGAACTCCCTAAATTTTGGAAGTGAATAGATTTATGATCCCACATTGAAATCTCCTATTCAAATATGGTTTCGGCATTGTCTGGTTTGAAAAAAACAAGTTGGAGATACTGAACATTTCTTAGAGATATTTACTCAAAGAATAAAAAAAATGTTACCAGGAATGGCATACCTCAATTTCACAATCATCCAGGCTGTGTACTTTCAGAAAAATCAAAGTAGTATTATAACCTGGGAGATTTATTGGCAAGCAATTATAGACTAAAATATATACTGACGAGTTTTCGCTGTTTTGGCCATAAACATAATGTTGAATTAGACAGATACACAAAAATACAGTAAGATAAATAAATTTTTAGTTTTTGCAGTGATACGTTTGAATTTAGCATGGTAGTAAATGAAATTCACTTTGTTTTTATATGTCTATTGTCATTTATCCATAGAGTGATCTGTAGTCAATATCTTTTAAAAGTTTTCAAGCGACGAGATGAAAATGAATCCAGCTTAACTTAGTACCACATGTTTACATAAATGTTTTATAATTTTTAAAACTTGCTATGCACTTTTCTACTCATTACATTTTGTATGATGAACTGAGGCCCTGTACAGAAATAAAATTACACAATACAAAATTGACTAATACTAAAATGAATAATTGTAGACAGATTTTGACAAGAAATCGTGTCACTTTTATGTGCGCTAACATTTGCGAAGAGCGAAAAAACTCGTGAGTAGCATTCTACCTTAAAATACCTAGACAATAATGCTAAAATACTTGGCTTTTTTGTGTACAACATTTTGCCGTAGTGAATCTAGGGTGTGGGTGTGTTTGTCTGTGGGTAGGGAATGGCTCAGGACCCATTCTCTAAAATGGTAAAATAGTTCAAAGATTTTATGTGAAATAACTTACCAATGTAAACAAAGTAAACCAATTGAATTTAAAACCGAGAATATAAAAATGTCTGTAAAATAGCTCAAAGTCATCTTTTTTATTTTTATAAAATTCACATGTTTCATATTAAATATAGTATTGTTGTTTTCGAACCCCCTATTCAAAAGTGCTGGCTACGGGCCTGGTAGCTACAGACTGAGACTCAAAATAAGCGGTGACACAAAATGTGAAAGCAAACAGAGAGCATGTGCGTGGCATATCTGTTCTTTGATGTAAATCTACTCATCACGCAGACTAGTCGATAACACAAATTATCAATGCCTCTACTGAAATATGTATTATTCGATGGTAATACTGGAGGAATTAAACAACAAAAACAAAACCTGTGCATCAGGTTATGCATTGTTATATCAGATCAGATATCCCACCAATAATAATCTGTAAAACACGACTGCATATTGCATGCTGGTAATGCAGAAATATGAACTGTCGATAGTCCACATTGATGCGTTTGTAAAATGTTAAATATAAATAATCACAGTATATTATATGTTTTAACTAAACATCAAACCATCACGCCTTCTCCACATGTTTTCCCGTTCACTGCAAGATCTCGCGTAATGATGAGTGAACGACGTGGATCAAACGTCTGCCGCGAAAATCGAATTATTTGAATTTGCTTTTTTTATAGTTCAATTTCGGATTACCCATCTTTTAAAAATGCATATTCCGTTGAGATATCTTTACTTCATCCAATGTGTATAGCACATTATAATGTAAACATCTACGCGATGTTTTGCCGCCACTGAAGTGCTATGACCTTTGATTGTCCCGACTTTACGTTCGACTTCACGCATAACGCGTGATCTTACAAACGAACGTAAAATAACCTAAATATTGATTTCACGCAAAATGCGAGATCATGCAAATGAACAGAAAATGGTCTATTGACCTTGAATATATGTGCGAGGTACTGAGGTAAGCAAACAAACAACCAACACACAAACAAATCTGTGTGACACACGACTGTGTCCAATATGGCTTCCTAAACACACAATCGCAGTGTAACAATGCATCACAGTTCGAGTAATATATAAACTGAAATAAAAAAAAGCTGCAGAGAAGCTATTAACGTATTTTAAGGAAAGGGTCAGACGAACCCAGCAAGAATTCGACAAAAGCGATTTTTTCTGTAGATATTGTCACCCGATTTTAAAAGACATTTCTATTCGTACTAGAGACAGGATCTATACACTGTTACACGTGTTGTAACGTGAATCATACACACACATATTCTATGTAAATCTGAAATTTTGATTGATCAGTTGTTTTTCATAATTTCTAGATGGCGCTAAAGTCGCACGACTGATTAGGTTTTTTGTTGCAGATGTTTTATAAAATAATAAAAATTTAGTGCAACAGACGCATTAGATGACCCTATTTCTGTATGAATGGCGCTTTTAACAAGTTTAATGCAATTTT